AAAAAAAAAAAAAAAAAAAAGAAGAAGATGGAACCACACAGGTTGGGCCAGAAAGGGTAGGCTGCAAGATGCACTGCCATCGATCCAGTGGGCGATCCCAGGAAAGGTCAGCCACGGGCTGCCAGCCTTGCGTGGTACTGATTTAGTCCTCCTGGGCAGTGAGCTACGGGGTGACAGACAGACGGACAGGTGGATAAATCGGACTCCAGTGGACAGGCGATGACCGAGTAGCTGACGAATGCACAGACACATGGCCGACTGTGGACGGATTTGTCATTCGCAGAGTCAGGCTAGTGACTTTGAGAGGGACAGACAGATGGGAGTGGCTGGACGCCTGAGAGCTGTCCACCTGCTCGCTCAGCCGCAAGGAGGCGCCACCACCCTGCCCAGCGACGCCCACTGCCCCGGTCCGCGGCGGGGGCGGAGCCAGCAAGTTCGCGGGGGGGGGGGAGGGGGTCGGGGGCGGGGCGCGCGTGCACGCGGGGCGCGGGGCGGGCGCGGGGGCGCGCGGCGGCGGCGCGTTCCGTTCCGGGCCGAGGCTCGCGGCTGAAAAGTTGCGGGGCAGAGAGGAGCGGCCCCGGGACGGGCAGCTAGCGCGAGGCCGAGCCGGCACCCGGCGCCCGTGGTCCGGCCATGGACGACCTCGGTGAGTGAGCGGGAGGCCCAGGGAGGAGGAGGCGAGGGGCGCGCGGCTCCGGGCCGAGCGGGCGCCTGCCAGCGGTGGGGGCCGGGGATCCCACCCTCTGCGGCCCCGGCCTCAGCTCCCGTCCCAGTCGGCCGGGGCTCCGTGGGGCGGGGATCCCTAACCCGGCCTCAGTCCCCGGCCAGGCCGGCCCCGGCACCGTCCGCACAGCAGCCACCCCCCTGCCTGGGACGGCTTCACCTCTGGATCCCCGACTTCGGGGACCCACCCCCATCTCCCAGAAGGGCCCCAGGGACCAGCTCGCCCCTCAGGGACGCACCCTGTCCGCTGCAGGGACGAGACTTCCTGGACCAGACCCCCTCATCAGCTACCGGACCCTCACCTCGCAGACCTCTCCCCACCCCCACCTCACAGATCGATCGCCCGACTCTGGGAGTAGCTGCCCGATCTCATGGGCTGCTCCCTCATTTCCTCGAACTGCTACCCGTCCCTCCAGGGCCGCCCCCTACTTCACAAACTGGCATCCCCCTTCGGGGATAACCCCTCTGAGCCCACCCCTTTCATTTCAGAAGTCAGATGCACAAGCTAGAGATGAGCGTGTGATTTGTGATGACCACACCCCCATTTCAAAGAAGTTTCCCAGTCTGCCTGCCCTCCTGATCCCCCACTTCAAATCTGGTCACCCCCGTTTCAAGGACCTGTGACTCATTTTCTCTCACTGCCCTCCCCACTCTGTGGACCAGCACCTCAATTCACAGACCAGTCCGCCTGCCTACATATCTAAGTGTAGAACAGTAATTTGGGAGCCCCTGATTCTCTCCCCACACCCAGATTCTGGCGAAATGCCAGGGGAATGAGGTGGGAGGTAGGTCCCAAGGTATGGCCATCCCTGAACGTGTCCTGGCTAGCAGGGTCCCTCCACCCCCTGGGCCTCAGGCCCTGCTGGAAACCATACAGGTAAAGAGGACAGGATGCCCAGAACAGAGTTTTACTGTTTGTCTGTTATTGGAGCCCCAAGGCTACTCTTTTCAGTCCAGTCTTGATCTGGTGTTAGGGGAAAGAATCTCCTGGAAGCCGACTCTAAACCCAAGGGGGTTGGTGCCAGGGTTCTAGGAATGCCTTGGGTGGTGTGAAGGCAGGAGTGGGAGGATTCACTGTTTCTTCCTCCCCTTCACGCCGGTGGCTGGAGGGCCCTGAGTTCGGGAGGTGAGGAGGGGGGAAACGTTTCTTCTCTGTAGGAGCCTTGTCTTTCCTCTCTGGACTGTGGGTGGCTTGTGTCACCACTGATGCTTCCTCTGTCCCAGGCTCTGAGGATTAGATTCAGCAGACAGGACTGATGGACCTTTACCAAGCAGCGCTGGGCACTAAGTTAAGACTGGCTATTTGTAGGCGCTGGACTTGACTGCTTCCCTCCAGCTTCCTTTTGGGATCAGCATGCCCCGGAGATCCTGGAACTGGAGGTGGTGTAGGGTCCTGCCTGTTTTGCAGAGTGAGATGGCTGCCAAGCGTAGTTCTCCCTTTGGGTCAGGCTTGGCACCCATTTTTCCAGTGTGCTCAATGTTGGCATGGCTTCCAGGCAGGTATTTTTTTTTTTTTTCACATAAAAATAGCTCAGCTGGAAGGAGGCTGGGGATGTTCTCTGAACCAGGATCTCAGAGTCTCAGTGCTTTCCCAGTGGGAACTGGGAGCAAAGTTATAGTTTCTAAAATGCTGGTGCAGTTCTATTGCTTCTCGGCAGTCCCCGTGCCATTTCAAGGACTGAGAAAGTCTTTGTAGAGTTTGTTGTCGAAATCCGGAATTCCTGTCTTCTGACAGTCTTCCATTTAGGGCCAGGAAGCTGAGTTCTGAAAGTAAAGAGAGTACTGTGTACAGCAGAGGGGATTGTAGCGATTTAAATTGCTGTTTGTGGAGTTCTTCCCTATACCTCGATTTGTGCTATCTTCACAACAACCCTTTTGTCAGATTCCCCCTTAAGGCCAATGCTATCAGGACCACCTGCCTTTTTACAGATTGAGAAAGCTGAGACTAAGAGAGGTTGATTCTCTTGCCCAAAGCTGCTCAGCCATAAAATGACAAAACTGTAACTGGAAGCCCAATTCCTAGCTCCTAGATCTGCATCTCTTGTATACCAAGAAGCCTTTTTTTCCTGGGGAGGAGGCAAGGGCACTTGAAGAAGGGGTTGCCACTGACTGATGGCGGCCACCTGTAACTTCTGCTGCTTTCTATCATAGGCTCCCAGTTGCTTACATCCGGGCTGCCCAACTTCCTTGGTCTGAGCTCCCAGGGGGCAAGCCACGCCTGGCTGACCGGAGCCTGGGGTGGGAGGAATGGGGTGTGCAGGAGGGGAGAGGAATCTGCCTCTGCACTGGGGCCCCGTCAGCTGTCTGGATGGCGGCTCAGTACACTGCCCGTCAGCTGTTTTCCTTAGTTAGGGTGGACACAAAGCCCAGGACTCTTGTTTTTATTTTTCTCCTGAGCATGTGCCTGTGGTCCCTAACACAGGGGAGAGTTTATGGTGTGTCCAGTAGCAAGGCCAGAGGGGGCATCACCTCCTCTGTGACTTTGTTTTTTGGTCTAAAAAAAAAATTTGGGAACTCTCTCCTCCCCAGTGACAGACTCGCCGTGTGCTGTTTAATAAGTTACAAATTTATGGCTCTCTGAGCAGAAAAATATCAACACAGCGTGTTCCGCCCTTCCCTGTGTGTTCTCTCCACTTTGTGCTTTGGGGTGGCTGCTTGGTGGCTTTTCTTATTACTGTTTAGATGCTGGTTTGGCCCAGAGTTCTCTCTGTTCAAGTTCTGGCCGGAGTTTCCTGGACAGAGTTCCCACAACACAGATGCACTCTGACTGTGTTTTCTAACCTGATTGCTCGCTCTGTCTCTGTTCATGTTCTTAGTATACTTGGTAGGGGGGCTTTGACCACAACCGTGGTCTAATCACGATCATGTGCACTTCATGGGAGAAAGGCCCTGGACTCAACATTTTACAAGCTGTATCACAACCTTTCGGAGAGGGAGGTGTTTTTACCTCCGCTTTATAGATGTGGAAATCTGAGCTCCAGGAAGTTTAGTGGTGGTGCTGGGATTTGAACCCAGACTCATCCAATTCCAGATCTGCTCATTTTAATCATCATTAGGTGGTAGGTGCTGGTGACTAACCAGGGGGATGAGCCTTGGGGCCTGCTGAGTAATTGATAGTTACCTTTCAAATCTCTGCCCTAGGGGCCATTCCCAGAAAATGGCAAAGGGTGTGTCCAGTGCAAGACTTCTTAGCTTTGCCTTCCCATCCTTTAGCAAAGGGAACAGCCAGCTGTTGGCAGTGCCCAGTTGCTGCTGGAATCTGGACATGTCTTCTTTCAGCTTCTCAGCAGTCTTGACCCTTTGGAAAACAGTGCCTCATTGTCCTTGGGGGTAGCGGTAGGGGGGCAGAGGAGTTGCCTGGGGCATTCGGAGCTATGGAGCCTCCCTGTTTCCATGGAAAGTCTGGACTTTGGGCTTGCCTATCTGTGGTCCCTCTGTGTGTCAGGGCAGAGTCAGGGCACCCAGCTGCTGGGCTGGTGGCAGAGGCGGCATTTACCCTTGCAGCGATGGTGCCTTCCTGGTGGGCTCTGCGTCAGTGCCAGGCCGCCTCCTGGGCTGTGTGCTAGTAAGGGGCAGAGCTGGGATTCAAACCCTGGTGTGTTTGATTCTTCAGCAGGTGCCCTTTCTGATATGTGAAGCTGTTTGCTGCCTGGGCAGTATAGGTTGATGGCTCAGGCTGCTGGAAGCCAGGGCCCTGTCACTATGGGTTCAAGGTCTTTTGAGGGAATATCTCAGTATTCCTTTTTTCCCTAGTGATGGTTATGCCTTGGAGAGGCTGGGTGTACCCTTGGCTGGAGAGGCTGATGGAAAGCCAGAGTTACTGGGGGGCTGCTGAGCAGCCCTCCTCTCCTATTTAGTCATTGTGCATGGAGTATCTGACTCTGAAGCTTTTCTTGGGTTTTTACCTTGCTCCAAGACCAGAGTTGTTGAATTAACTTCCAGCCTCATTGCAGCCTTTCCCTGGGTTGTGTAAGTCTCAGAGCCTTCATTAATAATAAGAAAATCTGCCAGGTGTGGTGGCTCATGCCTGTAATCCCAGAACTTTAGGAGGCCAAAGCAAGTGGATCACCTGAGATCAGGAGTTCAAGACCAGCCTGGCCAACGTGGTGAAATCCCATCTCTACTAAAAATACAAAAATTAGCTGGGCATGGTGGCGCATGCCTGAAATCCCAGCTATTCCGGAGACTGAGACAGGAGAATTGCTTGAACCCAGGAGGCAGAGGTTGCAGTGAGCTGAGATCACACCACTGCACTCCAGCCTGGGTGACAGAGTGAGACTCTGTCTCAATAAATAAATAAATAAATAAATAAATAAATAAATACAAACAAAATATGTAGAATGCTTTTCTTTCCTTTTCTTTCTTTCTTTCTTTTTTTTTAGATAGAGTCTTGCTCTGTCACTCAGGCTGGAGTGCTGTGGCATGATCTTGGCTCACTACAACCTCAGCTTCCCAGGTTCAAGTGATTCTCCTGCCTCAGTCTCCCAAGTACTGCAAATTACTGAGCGTGCCTCCATGCTGAGTTAATAATTTTTGTATTTTTCGTAGAGACGGGGTTTTACCACTGTAGCCAGGCTGGTGTTGAACTCCTGACATCAGGTGATCCACCCACCTTGGCCTCTCAAATGACTGGGATTACAGGCGTGAGCCACCATGCCTGGCCACATTTCTTTTCTTTTGGTGAGATGAGTCTCTGTTGCCCAGGCTGGAATGAAGTGGCACGAACTTGGCTCACTGCACCCTCTGCCTTCTGGGGTAAAGGGATTTTCAGCTAATTTTTGTATTTTTAGTAGAGACGGAGTTTCACCATGTTGTCCAGGCTGGTCTTAAACTCATGAACTCAAGTGATCTGCCTGCCTTGGCCTCCCAAAGTGCTAGGATTACAGGCGTGAGCCACTGTGCCTGGCCCACACTTTTCTTTTT